TGAGTCGTGGAAAGGTTTTGACGGTGCAAACGTCTTAACTTATAATCTGGGGGCAATAATGTGTTGCTAGATACCGCTTATTGCTTATAGTATTGGTGCAGAGCCAATACTGTGGCCAGCTTTATAAGTGCCTATACGGGTCACACACTTTGGACAATTTAAGGAGTAGGATTAAACAATGGGATAATAAGTAATTTGTATATTTGTAAAAATAGTAAAGTAAAATATTTTGGAATATAATATTATATATATATATATAAATATTCGGTTATGTATATTATATATATGTGCCGATTAATATATATATATATATATATATATATATATTATATGTTGAATATTTTATTTTGATTTGTCATTTTAATTATGAAAATAATTATTTTGTCATAAACTATTTAAAGTATATTTGTATACTTGTTTAAAAATGATATTGGTATTTTTATTTGATTTAAAATTAATTTTATATTAATTTTTGGTGTCAAATAAAATACACTTTGAACATTTGAGTGGAGAAGAATTTTGAAAATCCTTCTCACAATCACAATGATTTGTTTGGCCATTTTGGATTGAGGAGAATCACAATTTTCTTTGATTGAATTTTGAGTGGGGTAATTATTTGTCATTTAGCTAATGACAAAATTAATCACATCTTTGTTTTAAATATACACCTCACGCACCATTAGCAAAGAAGAGAAGGAGATATCACCAATTTGTTTTAAGTTTTGGCCATTACATTTTTAGTGAGAGAAAATACTTTGTGTTCTNTATAATCTTTACTAGCATAAAGATTGTGGTAGACTCCGGCGTTGTTCGTGTGTCAAAGTTGGAGACCGGACGCTTGAACGGTTACGTTTGCACTTTCAACGCTCTTCCTACGACTTCTTCGTTTTAGCTGCTTACGGAGAAAGGTATAAATTTCTTACTACTATATGTTTTAGTACGTGATTCTGGGCAAGATAATCATGTTAGGATGTTAAAATTTTTATATTCCGCTGCCTATCCTTGCATGGTTACCTTTCATAAATTTGTTGCCCAAATGTGCGGATGTTGAAACCTCCACCATTTGGAGCAGCCTATACTCTCATGAGCTTCTTTTGAAGAAAATGAAGGAAGAAGAACAGGTTCCTATCATCAAGAAGACCATGGCACTCAAAATTGATGACCATCCGGAGAGCGAAGGAGAAAGTGATGAGGAGCTTGCCATGTTTAAGAGATACAAGAAGTTTATGAAATGGAACAAGGGAGAATCCTCAAAAAGATTTCCATCAAAGAAAGGTAAACCTAATCAAATAACTTGCTATGAATCTGGAAATGTAGGTCATATCAAACTGGAGTGCCCAAAGCTCAAAAAGAAGGAAGAGCTTAAAAAGGGGAAGAAGAAGGCACTAAAAGTCACTTGGGACGATTTAAACTCCGACGAAAGTGATAGTGACCAAAGCCAAGAAGAGAACGCAAATGCTTGCTTCACGGCCTCCAATGATGAAGAAGAGGTTAGTTCTCAAAATTCATTTACCTCTTTTGAAAGTCAAATTACTTTTGATGAGTTAAGGCAAGCATTTGATGAATGCCAAGAGGACCTTTTTCGAACCATTAGGGAGAAAAAGGAACTCAAAGTGGCTCTTGAAACTTCTCGGGATGAAAACAAAATTTTAAAACTTAATCTTGAGAAACTTCAAAACCAAAATGAAGAATTTTAAAAGAAAATTTAAATTTTGATTAAAGAAAAAGACAAGGCCAAGCGAGAGGCTTTAGAAATGTTTTATGATAGCTATAACTCAATGAAGATGTGGGATGACCAACCAAAACTAACAAAAGAAGGGATTGGTTATGGTGAAACCACAAATTTGATGAGCATGGCTAAAAATCATTTTAATACCTCAAAAACTAAACCATCAAACCAAGCCTCAACTTCTAAATCAAAAGTAAAGGTTTGCCATTATTTCATGCAAGCTAACCATATTGTGACAAAATGTCCAAACAAATGGTTAGTTGAAATGCGTAAATTAAAATGGGTCAAGAAGGGTTCTAACCGGTCGGAATCCAAGAATATTGGATATCAAAAGAAACCCTTTTTGCAGGAAAATAAACGAAATGATGGTGGATACTATTTCTTTTATTATGATGAAAAACGAAAAGTCCATTTACCACTTCTAGAACCAACCAAGACGAAACCCGTATATCGACATAGGGTATTCGTCGATTGGAACCCCAAACCTAAGTCAAAAGTAAATTCCGTTTTGACTAGGTGAAAAATACCACTTGGGTTGTGGATAGTGGATGTTCAAGGCACATGACCGGAACAAGAGGATGGTTCACAAATCTCAAGGAGAGAAGTCATGGACATGTAACCCTTAGAGACAAATCCCGGAAGAAAGTCATTGGTAAAGGTACAATAGGTATTTCAAGTGATTTTTCAATAAATGATGTTTATCTTGTTGATGGCCTAAAATTTAACTTAATTAGCATAAGCCAACTTTGTGACAATGGCCACAAAATTGAGTTTAATGCAAATTCCTGCGTTTTATATGGCCAAAATAAAGATGAAATCATTTTTGAGGCTAAAAGAGATGGAAATTTATACAAGTTCAATTCCAATGACTTAAGCAACTCAAAAATCACTTGTCTTACTACTTCGCTTGAATTTTCAACATTATGGCACCGTAGACTAGGGCATGCTAGTTATGATCTTTTGAGAAAACTTTACTCAAAAGAACTTGTTGTTGGGTTACCAAAAATGAGCATATCTACTTCTCGTTTTTGTAATGCTTGCTCCCTTGGAAAACAACATAAAGTATCATTTAAGCCCATAAAAATGGTTTTAACGTCAAGGCCACTTGAACTATTACATATGGATTTATTTGGGCCCGTAGACGTTCAAAGCCTAGGTGGAGCTAGTTTTACTTTTGTGATTGTAGATGATTTTTCTCGTTATACTTGGACTATATTGCTTGCCAATAAAGATGATGCGTTTAATGCGTTTGTTAAGTTGTGCAAGAGAATCCAAAATGAGAAAGGTTATGAAATAACCTCCATTAAATATGATAGAGGAGGAGAATACCGGAATACCAATTTTGAGACATATTGTGATGAACACGGTATTTCTCACAACTTTTCGGCTCCTAGAACACCTCAACAAAATGGAGTCGTTGAAAGGAAAAATAGGACGTTGCAAGGAATGTCAAGGACCATGTTGAATGAACATAACCTACCTCAATATTTTTGGGGAGAAGCGGTCAACACGGCATGCTACGTTCTTAACCGGGTATTACTTAGACCTATTATTAAAAAGACTCCCTATGAACTTTGGAAAGGTAGAAAACCAAACATTTCCTATTTCAAAGTTTTTGGGTGCAAATGCTGTATTTTGAATACCAAGGATCATTTAGGCAAATTTGAGTCTAAATCAAATGAAGGAATTTTCCTTGGTTATTCAACAAATAGTAGAGCCTATAGGGTATATAATAAATCAAATCATAAAGTAGAAGAATCTATGCATGTAAAATTTGACGAAACCGATCCCTTTGGGTCGAGTAAGGTAATTGCAGGTTCAAATGAAGAAGAAGAGGAAGAAGAAATCCTGGAAATTCCTGCGCAAGAAGAAGAAAAGAAGGAACTGCCGAAGGCATACAAACACTTGAAGAATCATCCAAGAGACAATATCATTGGAGATATTGAAAAGAGAGTTAGAACTAGGAACAATTACAATCTTTGTGCACACTATGCGCTCGTTAGTCAATTTGAACCTAAGAACATAGAAGATGCACTAAAAGATAGTGATTGGATTATATCCATGCAACTAGAGCTTGAGCAATTTGAACGCAACAAGGTTTGGGAACTAGTTGAAAGACCGGAAAACCGACTCGTTGTGGGCACTAAATGGGTCTTTAGAAACAAGCTTGATGAAAATGGTGTTATTATCACCAATAAAAGTCAACTTGTTGCTAAATGCTATAGCCAAGTTGAAGGACTTGACTATGATGAAACTTTTGCTCCGGTTGCTAGGCTTGAATCTATTCGTATGTTATTAGCTTTTGCAAGTGCTCTTAATTTTAAACTTTTTCAAATGGATGTTAAAAGTGCTTTTCTCAATGGATGGTTAAAAGAAGAAGTTTATGTTGAACAACCTCCCAGTTTTGAAAATCCTGATTTTCCAAATCATGTTTTTAAACTTCATAAGGCTCTTTATGGACTCAAACAAGCTCCTAGAGCTTGGTATGAGCGGCTTACCAAACATCTTATCTCACATGGATTTGCAAAAGGAAAGATCGATTCCACACTTTTTGTCAAAACAAAAGGAAAAGATCTCATAATTGTGCAAATTTATGTTGATGATATTATTTTTTGGTCAACTAATGAAGCCTTATGTAATGAATTTTCAGGAATTATGACAAGCGAATTTGAAATGAGTATGATGGGTGAGTTGAACTTCTTCCTTGGACTTCAAATTAAGCAACTTGGAGATGGTATTTTCATTAGCCAAAACAAGTATGCCAAAGAATTAGTCAAGAAGTTTAACCTTGAAGACTCAAAAACATATCCGACTCCAATGAGCACATCTTTGAAGCTTGACAACAACGAAAGCGGAAAACCCGTAAATGAAAAGGTATATCGAGGTATGATTGGTAGTTTACTTTATTTAACTGCATCTAGACCTGACATCATGTTTTCTGTTTGTCTTTGTGCACGTTTCCAATCATCACCCAAAGAATCACATCGTAATGGCGTCAAGCGAATAATTCGATATGTCAAGGGAACGACCAATATGGGTTTATGGTATCCCAAGAATACGAATTTAAGTTTGATAGGTTTTAGTGATGCTGACTTTGGCGGGTGTCGTATTGATCGGAAAAGCACAAGTGGCACATGTCAATTCATAGGTCATGCACTAGTGTCTTGGTCATCTAAGAAACAACACTCCGTTGCCCTATCCACCGCCGAAGCGGAATATGTGGCTTTAACTTAAAAATTTTCAAAAGTGCCTATTTTTTGTGACAATTCAAGTGCAATAAATATTTCCAAAAACCCCGTTTTGCATTCTAGAACTAAACATATAGAAATAAGACATCATTTCATACGTGATCATGTTTCAAAGGGAGATATTCAAATCGAATATGTAAATACACTTGAACAACGTGCCGACATTTTTACAAAACCATTGGATGAAAAACAATTTTTACATATTTGTCGGGAAATGGGAATGCTTGAATTAAAGTAAAATTTAAGGTTCTTATTATCCCATTACATCATAAAAATATATTGATTAAGTCCAAATGCTCAAAACACACGTCTAGAGGTCGAAACAAAACCTTAAGGCTAAGGCACGGTACCCCTGACGGGACCCAGTACCGCCCACACGGTAGAGCCCACCGTTACTACGCTACCAGGATGCCGTTTGGACGCAGATACCGCCAGAGGGAATTGGGTTTTGGACGTTACATGGTAGCTGGACACGGTAAGGCATACCGTATACACGGTACCGAGGTACCGACCGTCTCTGCGGGTCAACCTACATTAAAAACCCTAAATCGAACCAATTTTCTCAGTTTCGCTCTACAACTTCCGGCGATTCCTCTCGGCATCTCTCTCCCGTGTTTCGAACCAAGGTAAATTCCTCATCCAAATTCCTCAATTTCTTCAAACATTAGGTTCAATTGCTTCACATACTCTCTTCAATTCAGGTATTTTGTATCAATTTCTCACTTTTTCGCCCAAAATCCTTCCATTCTCAATTTTCTCTCAAAATGAGCGAAATTGTCTCCGACGTTCATGTCGATGCTCAAGAAGGGTTCAAGGCTTACGCCGACCCACATATCATCAAGGGGAGAACTCTTAAACAAGATGACATACCCGTTGCCATTCTTGAACTCATTCATGAACAAGGATGGAGTTTCTTTCTTCAACTCCACGCCCCCGTTTACCCGGAACTTGTTCATCAATTTTATTTATTCCTCATTAAGATACCATAAGCAAGACCCTTCCATTACTGCTGTTGTTGCCAGCAAAACCTTCGGATTCAACACACAAAACCTTTCCGAGTGGTTCCACCTAGAGCGTCAAGGAGTCTCCTCTTATTGCAAAAAGGGGTGGATTTCCGACTCACAAGACTTCAACGCGGATTTTTTCCTACGTGTTCTCAACAATATTGCTCTTGACCATGTCTTTGAGGACCAGGACTATTTCCTTCGTCGGCCCAACGTCCAAGACTTGACCGCAAATCGTTTCATTCTTCTTAAAATCCTCAAGGAAAATGTCATCCCCGTCCTTAACAAAAATAAACAAGTTGGGATTTATGAGTGTACTCTTCTTTACCTCCTCCTCACTCACAAGAAAAACAATCCTCAAATCGGTGTCTCATGCTTCCTCGGCCTCTCTCTTGCATCGTCACTCCCAAATGGCCTCCACTTCCAAAAATCCTTTCAAGTAGTTCAAGAAATTCATCCTCAAGACCGTGGTGGCTCCGATGAGGAAACTTCAGGAAAGCCTCGATGACCTCTCGGATCGGATGAAGAAGATGGAGGACCGTGAGAATCGCCAAAAGCAAAATGAGGATCGTGCTTCTAGACGTCGTCGCTAAGTGTTGGGCATTTGACAAAATGATCAAACATTCTCTTATTTATGTTTTCAAAACAATTATTTTGTTTTATGTTTCAAAAATCCTTATCATGTCTTATGTTTAAAACTCGTATTTATGCACTTTTATGATTGAAAATCCCTTTGTTTTGATTGCTTATGGTTTGATGATGTTTGTGGTTCACTTGAATGCCTATGTGTTGAAACTCATGTTTTTGGTACCCCGCCTTTTTGAATGTTTCCAAAAGGGGGAGAAATATTAGGCTTTCATATGCATACATTTAGGGGGAGTTTTTGTCAAAATATCACATGCATCAACTTAGGGGAGTTTTTAAAATCAATATATGCTTTTCACGATATGCTTGTGCGTTTGATTATTATATTCGAAAGCCTTATTTGTCAACATCAAAAAGGGGGAGATTGTTGGCCTTGAATGTCGTACCCCGTAACCATTTTGATGTGCCAAATAAGTCTTCCAATGCTACTAACATCATTTGCAGGATTAAACCAAACGCCAAACCTCTATTAGCTTGTTTAGCATCACCGAGATGTACTCCTACGAGCTTAGAAATATTTGTGTAAAGGTAACTATATATTTTAATGACTTACTTATGCCCTTTCACTCAAAAAGTATTTCTAAAATATCAAATATATTCTTAGTTGGGGTTATTTTGAAAACGGAACACAAAAAAACGAGTTTAGTAAAAATTACACAGGTCTAACGGTACCTGGCTACCGTGTACACGGTACCAGGGTACCGCCGGTAGCCAAGTGAACGTTCCGTTGTACGTTTCACTTGGGTGGTACACGATACCCCCTAGCGTGACAACGGTACCTGGGTATCGTCGGTAGGCTTGGGAAGGTTAGCCAAACTGTTTGAACCCAGATACCGCCAGAGCCGAACCAATTCTATGGCTTACACAGTACCCCCTAACGGTAGGCTGTACCGTTGTCACGGTACCTAGGTACCGGACGGTACGGACCCCTACCATGAAGGGTACCGGATCCGTTACAGCACTGTAGCAAATTGCCAATTTAAATTCAAATCACCCCTAATCACTTCCTAACGGCATTTAAGGTTAAAAATTCATATTTTAACATTCCAAACTCCTATATAAACCCCCTCTAAGTCTCATTTTAATCACAACAACTTCTCAATTAAATCTAAAGCCTCTTTCTCTATTCTTGAGTGTTCTAAAAGCTTTGTTCTTATTTTTCTTACTCTTTTGAGTATAAAGCTTTCATTATATTTATACACTCACACACAAGGGCATTTTTGATTCATTATTTTATATCTTGCCTATAGGCTTTTGTTGTTGTTGATTTAATCTTTTGTTCTTCTCCTACCCAATTCATATTTGTTATCATTTTGGTAGAGAAGCAACACCAATCTTTTATTAATTTGTATAAGGTGTGGATAGCCTTTAAATCCTCATTGTAAGGTTGAAGATAGCCTTAAAATCTTCGGTTGTAAACGGTTGAGATAGCCGTAGTAAAATCTCATTTACTTATTGGCAAGGGTTGTTTGCCAAACCTCGTTTGAGTCTTCTTAGTGAAGCCAAACAAGTTAGTGGAGGTTAAATCCTTGAGGAGGAGCCTCGAGGTACTGGAGTAGGGAGTTCCCGAACCAGTATAAAATCGCTTGTGTCGTATTTTTATCTTTTATACTTTTCTTGCTCCTTTTCCGCTACTACTTTGCGCATAAGTTTCTGTTTTTACGAAAAACTTGCAAACACCCTAATTCACCCCCCTCTTAGAGTGTAAACCGACTTTCAGATAGTTCGAACCTGCGTGCAAGATATCACGGAATGCAACCAACCTAATTCCATAAACTGGTATTTTGTCACAACTGGTTTCTCTGACGGTGGTTCTTGCTTGAAAATTTAGGCGAAACTCATGTCTTGAAGTGCGATAATATCCACTGCTATTGCTAACGCCAAAATAAGCAAAGACATATACTGATCTTTCCTTTATTTTATTCTCAAAAGTTCCCACCAAACTTTTTCTTACTGTGGCATGGATAGTTGTTTCCTACAAAATGTCAAGGAAACTTTAATACTTATAGGGACTTGAGAGACTTCAATACTTAGGGACTAAAGAAACTTCAACATGTATTAACACTATCTGGCCTGTTCAAATGTGTTTCGAAACTATAAAAACAAATTTGTAGAGACTTTGAAAAGTTTTTAGGCAATATAAAAAGTTGTTTTTTCTGATTTTTTTAAACACTTGAGAAGCTTCAACATGAATAGGCACTTTAATAACTAAGAATCTAAACTCGACAGACTTTTTTGGCAATATAAAAAGTTGTTTTGTCTGATTTTTTTAAGCACTGGAGAAGCTTCCAATACCCAGGGACTAGAGAAATTTCAACAGACTTTAAGAATCTAAACTCAACGCCATAAAAAATATAAAAGAATATAAATCTGAAAGTAGGCAGCAGAGTATAGGAGGCAGAATATGCACAGACTATGGACAGCACAGGATACAAATATGAAAATAGGGAGAACAAATAATATAAATCAGAAGAATTCACTCAGTGTAACTGTAGTGCTTATCATTCACTATATCCATACATCCAGCACAAATGTGATTCTCTATTTTTAACAATTTTTATGGCAAAGAAACAGAGAATATTTTTTGAAGAAGAATCATTTAGGTTGAACAAAAACATCCTTTTGAAAAGTTTTTAGGAAATATAAAAAGTTGTTTTGTCTGATGTTTTTCAGCACTGGAGATGCTTCAACATGAATAGGCACTATAATAACAAAACAGAATATAGCACGATTAGTTTTTCCAATACCCAGGGATTTTAAGAAACTAAACTCAACGCCATAAAAAATATTAGAGAACATGAATCTGAAAATAGGCAGCAGAGTATAGGGGCACAGAATATAGCAAAATGTTGTGGTTTTAAAAAACTTTAAAGAAACATATTATCTATTCATATAATGTATGCAAAATTCGTATAAGAATATAATTCTTACATCTTCGTCCATGAATATCATCTCAATCGAATTAGCTACTTTGTCATCATTGTAAACCGGCATCTTATACAATCGAATAACACGAACTAAAACTCTCCAGCATTCACTTGTTGGATTGATTTTCAACAAAGGGTGAATGGGTTTGGTAGACATGTTAATTGTGCAAAGATTTTCGGTATGAGCAGCCCTTACAAACCAAGATTGATAAAATGGCTAATTTAGAATTGATTTATAGATGACCTAAATAGGAATAAGGAATTCCGTGAACAAAGTGGAATCGGACAAACAATAAGGAAAGTTACCTTTCTTGGCCGAGAGATTGGTGCCGATGAAATTCCGCTCATCCCAATTTCATCTGTGAAGGAAAGTAGTGCATCCATTGCGAAGGAAAGTGCATCTCCGTGTGAAATAATTTTACAGAATTTTCGCTCATCTCAATTTCATCTGCGAAGGAAACTTACCGTATCTGCGCTCATCTGTATATCGAAGAATTTGCATGAAAATTCACGTATATTTGTCTGCGAATCTCCAGAATCGAACGGGTGAGTTCATTGCAGAGGCTAATGAACGGTGAGTTTCTGTTCTGATCGAACGAGTGAGTTTTCTGGAATCCAACCGGCAGCCATCCACTATACGGGTCATTTAGATCCGATTTGGTTAAGAAATACAAATAAGTACATTCACTTGATGACATGGCAGATGAGCTGTTCAAAATTTTGTCCACTCAGCATGACAAATGTCAAGATTCCGGGAGTTTAACTCCCAAATATTATATATAAAGGATAAAGGATATGTCTATTTATTTAATTAAATATTTGAGCGAAGAGTTTTAATAAATTTTATTTTTCTTACATTAAAATGTGAAGGGATAATATTAAAATTTTATATTCAGTATGAGTGTCATTCGAAAAATCATAATATTTGTCAAGAACGGACATATATACCAAAAACTATGTTCAAAAGAGATGATCGAGTATAATAGTTAAATGAATTAAAATTAATATTTTAGACGATAATCATTACCATGACTTGTATCATACTCATGGGTAGTATAAACCTCAAAGAGCGGGTGATGTGGCCATTTAATTGAAAAACCATTTAATACCGAAGATTGTGCTAAAATCGTGGGTGATGTGGTTCTTTTTTTCCTAATATGCCCTTTTCTATTACGGTTACACCAAAAAATATACCCCAATTGTACACCACAGGCTTGCACAAACATTTCGATGGTTTACACCGACACAAGTGTTGGTGCGTTAATAAATATTCACACGGACACAAATGTTGGTGCGTTTAACAAAAATTAGTTTTACACCAACACAAAGTGTTGGTGCAAAACTGCGGGATACAAATTGGGGTACAAACCTTGGGGTACACATAGCATAATCCTTACGGTTACTCGAAAATTGGCATGCCACTTTAATTGTAGTCAATCTCACTTACTTTTTATTGCATCAATGAGAGCAGTTAGATTTACAATATCAATGCTTATTCTTTATTTTTATTTTTTCACTAAGAGTCATTCTCACTGCAACCGCCCATATATATAGATCTGATAGATAAAATGAAGATCTATTCACCAACACAAAAAATGTAAAACTAATATAATACTTGAAAAATTACTGAAAAATTATTAATATATACATGAAAAGCCATATAATCATGAAAAAAACAATGGGTCATGCTACACTTATACCAAAAATTGTACCTCATTTGTACACCGCATACACAAACATTTCGATTATTTACACCGACACACGTATTGGTGCGCTAACAAAAAATTATACGAACACAAAGTGTTGGTGCGTTAACAAACATTAGTTTTACACCAACAAAAAATGTCGGTGCAAACCTACGGTGTACAAAATGGGGTACAAAGGTTTGGGGTACAAATAGCTTTATCCAAAAACAATTGCCGATCTCGAGATTGGATTGCAGACTTCATTTTCTAAGAGAATCCGTCTACGCCGACAAATATTAAAATAGAAAAATCCGTGAAAAAGAATTGAAAAATTCATTCTAAAAAAGATGAAAGAAAAATCGAAATTCAAATGGCTTGAATGGGATTGTAGTGGAAAAAAACGAAACAATAAATTATTGAAGAGAAGATTCAAGAAATTGTTGNGGGGGGGATGAAAATGAAAGGCGATGAGGGTTGGAAGGATATAGGAGGATATTCTTGGACTGGGCCGGGTTTAGGGGATGGGTAAGAATATTTAGGCCGGGTTACAATCTTAAAGGTTACTGGGCTGAATTCTTGGGCTTGCTTTTAAATTTGTATATTTTATACTACCTCTGTCCATGAGTATTTGTCTAGTTTTAACTTTTTGTTGTCAAATATTTTTAACCTTTCATTTAAAATTAAATTAAATATATAATCTATATTAATGAGATAAAATAATATTTGGAAAATATTTGATATAATAAATCTAATAAAAACTATATTTGTATTAATATCTACTATCATTTTTTTTAAATTGAGATCAAAGTTTAATAATTTTGACTTATAAAAAGTCAAAAGTAGACAAATACTCAAAGACAGAGGGAGTATATAAAATTCTTAAAACAAGAGTTATAAAATTCTTAAAACATGATGGTATTCTTTTATTTTCCTATTTTTGTAACACTTATTACGCTGCATATAGTATGGTACATGTGTTGACGTTATTTGTTTCATATATATGGTATATCAACTATTAGGTGCAAGTAGCGGTGTATCAATGCAAGGGATTTTACATGTATATGGTATATCAACTATTAGGTTAAATATATTTGTTTCATGTATATGGTATATCAACTATTAGGTTAAATATATTTTACATGCAATTTACAAAATTTTTAACCGTATTTTAAGTATATACTAACATCTATTTCATGTTAATTAAGGAGTACTCTCCTTGAGGCCATTTGATGGGATTACTTCATTCGGATCTACAAGCATTTGTTTCATAATATGTTATTTGTTTCATGTATATGGTATATCAACTATTAGGTTAAATATATTTTACATGCAATTTACAAAATTTTAAACCGTATTTTAAGTATATACTAACATCTATTTCATGTTAATTAAGGAGTACTCTCCTTGAGGCCATTTGAGGCCATTTGATGGGATTATTTCATTCGGATCTACAAGCATTTTGTCTAAAGATGCATCGCTTAATGCAACATGCATATCTGATCTCCATCTCCAAATACAAGGTTGCCTAATCTAATGACAAAAACATGGAGAATTGATTCAGATCTTCTCGAACAAAAACATGCAGAATTTGAATGTTGATTTTAAATGTGATGATAACGACACAAGTGAGGCGAATAGAGTTTCAAATACTTTGCCATGTATTAGATCTACAAAAAGAGTTCAAATGGTTAAATATTGGGATATTAGTGATCCAACACACTTTTGTGAATATTGTCATGCATATTTTTGGTATGAAGAGAGAATTGTTAGCATCTCTATTAAACTTAAACCCCGGTATTCCCTATGTTGTGGGCATGGAAAGATTACCCTTGAAAAAACTCTAGAACCATCACAAAAATTAAAAGATTTGTTATTTGGAACACATCCGAAGAGCAAGCATTTTCAATCCAATATTCGTTCGTACAATTATTTGTTTTCCTTTACATCACTTGGAGGCAGAATTTAAAGAGACAAAAACCACGGTCGCTGTCCTCCCGTTTTCAAGTTGGGTGGGAAAAACCACCATTGTATTGGTAGCTTGCTCCCGGATAATGGAGTAGGTCCTAAATTTTCCCAACTTTATATATATGATACTAAAAATGAATATTTCAATCGAATCAGGGCTTTGCGGTATGATATTAACTACCCATTTGTAAATTATTTATACTTTATGTATGCATGCATAATGTTGTTGGGATTGTTTAACAACTCTTTTACTAACTATAGGAAAGAAGATAAGGTTGAAAGCTTACATCGGAATATTATTGTGATGTTGCGGGCAATGCTAGGCGAGCACAATGTGCTAGCAAAGTCATTTCGAATTGCTAGGGACAAATTAATTGAGGTAGGTGATGACTCTTTTGCTTTGAGACGAATAGGCCACAGAAACTCTGTTTCATGAAGATATAATCTACCATCGGTTGAAGAAGTTGCTTCATTAGTAGTGGGTGATTTTCATCAAACCATGGGAGAAAGGGACATTGTGGTTAAAACGTGAGAAGGTAAAGTGCAGCGCATAAGTGAGCTAAATCCTGCATATTTAGGGCTACAATATCCCCTACTCTTCCCATATGCTGAAGATGGATACCGTGAAGACATTCCTTTTGCAGATGTTGAAGAATTTAATGTTGGATGACGAAGGAGTGTTAGCATCAAAGAATTTATTTCATATCGATTTCATGAACGGGGAGATGAAAACCCCTTCATACTGCACTCACGCAGACTTTTTCAAGAAATATATGTGGATGGAGGTTATCATGATGGATCAAATGACACTGCAAACACTAATCATGGTTCAAAACATGATTTACAAGTATCAGGTGTGGTACTCTTTTTTCATCTCAAATGACTTGGGTATATATATGGGCAATTAAATCTGTTTATTATTGACGCTTTATAAGTATGTATGTGTGTTTTAAGGTTGCCAATTAGAAAGAGATACTATCTTAAAAAACAAAAGAAAAAAGTGAAAAGTGGTTTACAACAAGTTGCGACCATACAGTTGCAGGTATGTTCTCGAACCTGTTAAATGCTTACCATACTATAGTTATATGAAATATGACACTAAACATATGTATGGTATTCGTAATTTATATTTATTTTTCATGCATGTTGAAGTCATCAACCACTAAAAAGGTAACTGTGGGTGAACAACGTAAGGAGTCTCATGATTCTCAGTCAGTTCCCAAGAATAGCGGTTTTTCCTCTACTCTTTTCCAACAACAAAAAAGTCTGACTAGTTCCCCATCGTTTGGTGGCAATCAAGTAAATGAAAAGGTATGCAAGAATACATCTGTAATTATGCATCATAAATTATCAGATGATATGATTATGCAATGACATGCCTTATTTGTGATTAGCATTTTTTTCTAGGAATGAACAAGCTGGGAGATAGTAGAAATGTTTCATCTACTCCAACGTTTGCTGATGGATGTAATGTGGAAAAAGGTCAAGAAAACCTTAAGAATCTGCCACCAAAAAATAAGGATCCAGTAAGTTCATTTTTCTACTAACATCAATCAATTCCCTTTAAAAAGTTGAATACATTTATTTTAGAAGTATTTATTTAATTTTCCAATACCCAAAATCCACAGTTGAAGTGTTTCATGTTGTTATGAAACAGCCTATGTTGAAAAGTAACAGGTTTCGTACTCATAATCTATTACTTAAATGTCTCCACCTAATTGTTATTGAAGACTTTCCTCCTAAAATATAACAAGTACAGGTACTGCCCCAGTTTCATCTTTGTACTCCGGCAAGTACTGGTGGATACATTTGTTTACACTGAGATGCTGAAGTTACATGATTGGTTGATTAGTTTGGAGAAGATTACTTGCAGCATACTTGATATTTTATTCTTTTTCAGGTCCAACTGTCCCGTGCTCAAGTAGAGTTTTTGGTGGATACAATGCTTAAAAAAAACCCTCTCGAAGTGCAAAAATATCGATCTCCAACAAAAAGAGAACTTATTGTAGGCTTCTTTCAGGGACTGGTACAAATTACATTTAAACTTACTGTCTGGAAACGTTTATTTACGTATGTTTTTATGATATATAAATACATATGTTTTAATATACACACACGGCAAAATACTGATCCATGTGGTATTCTTATTAAGGTTTGATTGATCCCGTCTCATCGTCTTTTAAAGAAACCTGAGATGATATCAATAGGTGGATTAGATCCCAGAACACAGCATATGATGGCTGAGTTCCAGTATCTTGTCGTGTTGATAATATCCTCTTTAGTGAGCTTAGCAATCTTGTTTCCATTGAGATCTTCACTTTCAACGAAATTCAATGCGTATTGTTGATCTGGCTCGCCCACAACAGAAGCAAAAGACCTACAGTTGTCTTTCACTTGTTCTGTCGTTTCAATCTGTTCTTTTTCAGTTTCTGCTGGTATGTCTTCAGGAATGGTTTCCATCTCGGTCTTCTGATCCGCTTCAGTCACATCTTCCTTGTTCGCTTGGGTTTTTCGATCACCATTCGGTGATCATCACTGTCTTCCTCTTCTCGCCATGTCGAGAGAGAAACCCTACATAGGCATCCCTAATTCCTGAGTTCTTATACTCCATATTGTGCCTCCGTTTTGCATCAGCGTTAGACGTTAGGATTTTTCTTATCCATACGTTTTAGTCAAGGCTTAATAAGAATACTACAGGAGAGGTCTCAGGCTCCGAGGTTAATAGAGCATGTATGATTTTGCTGATCCATATGTTTTATATAATATCACACTTTGCAGGCTATTGGTTTATGTAAGAATAAGGCAATACCAGATTTGATAGATACCGTTCTTCGAGAAAAGTTGGAAAAAGCCATACATGTAAGTATGTTTTTATAAATTCTCTCCATAGTTTGGATAATTATTCATTCTTGAAGATAGGAGATCAGTATTCATTCTTTGGATAAGTATTATTTCCCTTTTGACCTAAAAAAAAATGCACCTGAAGCATTAAAAAATAAATAAAAATAAAGTATGTCTGCATTTACTTGTATTCATTCTTGAACACTAGACTACCACATAAAGAGAGTAATTTGCAGTGTAACCCAATATACCAATATAGGCAATAAACCAGTTTACAAGAATAGCAACACAACAGTTATAGGCCAAAACCAATAGTAACATATTTAACCAAAATAAGAGCAGTAACAAGTTAAGCAATTCACAAACCAGTAGAAAAACAAACAATAGTAGTACGTGACACCCATCACTCATTTAAGATCCATACATGTACCCACCTAACGGATTGAAGTTTTGATTGGTACTATTTTTACAATATAATATACAATAAATTTAATTAATTCTTTTTAATTTTGTAGATACCGAGCAAAGATACGTGCACAAAAAAACCAAGTGAAGGTGGTTTTTTCTAGAAGATAGCAGATCAAAAGACAAGGATTTTTAAGCGGTGAGATGTTGCTGATGTACCTCCTAATTTTGTTCTTATTCTAAATTCTCTATTAATGATGACAGATGTTGAGAACATATTTCTTTGTTTTGGTTGGCTTTTACATGTGTTAGATGATGTGTTGAAACAAAGTCTGACGATAGGCTGATTTCTGCATTCCATCTATACATAAATATGGTTGATATGGAGATTGTTACATACTGCTGTGGATGACAATTGGAGTAATACACTGCTGTGGATTTTTAGACGCTTTCTTTTTTGGTTTTTCTTAGAATTCCGTTGGCTCTGTTGGATGACCTTTGATTTTGCAAGCCTTGCTTTCACATAGAATTTTTGGTTGGTTCTTTTCAATACTTTTGCTTATTAGCCTTTATTTGGAACTTTGCTTTGGTAGCTCGACTCATGTGTATTTTTTTTCAATGATGTACGTGCAATATACTTTGCTTCTTGTGATTAATTATATTGTTTATTCTAATATAGTACAGTACATGTTTATATTAATTAATTAGAATCATTAAAAGATATATATATATATATATATATATATATATATATAAATTTAAAAGTTAGTTGCTTGGTTGTAGTTTGCCGCACATATAAGTGTAGACACAAACCTTTAATTGTTTTCAACGGATTTTTTTCCCCCGCATTTGTAAGTGTCGCGTTGTAGCAACATATATATGTGTGGCAAAATTATAAATTGACCACACTTATAAGTGTGGCTAGTATGTTCATTATCCGCACTTATTACAAGTGCGGCAAATATTTCCCCGCACTGTAGTTCGCGACACTAACCTCATGTGTGGCAAAAAAAAGTCCCCGCACTTATACATGCGGCAAACACCAAATATAAGTGTGGTTAAAGACCACATATGTTGTAGTGAATATTAGACATTAAAAATTACCTGCAAGGATTTTTCCAAATATTTTGTTCTTCTTAATATCATGCATCAACCCATTTAACTTAATGTGAAACACCCTACACAGGATATCTGGTCGATCTTGAGCTCTTAGATTCCTATGTTGTAGATATCTTTCGATTTCAGGCCACTTCGGGTTACATGTGAAAGTTAGGAATTAGTCAGGGTAGCCGAACCACCTACAAATTGCCATTGCATCTTGGTAATTTTGAATCATATATCGTGCGCCTCCAACCAAGGTAGGAGGGACTATTATATGTTGGCCTTATGTTGACGCATCATTGTTAACGTCAAGCACTGAATCTGCTAACCGGTTGTAAAAATCACACCGTAATTTTTTCTGGTGCGTTTTAATGTAACACAGTCTAGAAGATTCTGCCATTGTAAATCCATCCACATATATTTCTTGAAAAAGTCTGCGTGAGTGCAGTATGAAGGGGTTTTCATCTCCCCGTTCATGAAATCGATATGAAATAAATTCTTTGATGCTAACACTCCTTCGTCATCCAACATTAAATTCTTCAACATCTGCAAAAGGAATGTCTTCACGGTATCCATCTTCAGCATATGGGAAGAGTAGGGGATATTGTAGCCCTAAATATGCAGGATTTAGCTCACTTATGCGCTGCACTTTACCTTCTCACGTTTTAACCACAATGTCCCTTTCTCCCATGGTTTGATGAAAATCACCCACTACTAATGAAGCAACTTCTTCAACCGATGGTAGATTATATCTTCATGAAACAGAGTTTCTGTGGCCTATTCGTCTCAAAGCAAAAGAGTCATCACCTACCTCAATTAATTTGTCCCTAGCAATTCGAAATGACTTTGCTAGCACATTGTGCTCGCCTAGCATTGCCCGCAACATCACAATAATATTCCGATGTAAGCTTTCAACCTTATCTTCTTTCCTATAGTTAGTAAAAGAGTTGTTAAACAATCCCAACAACATTATGCATGCATACATAAAGTATAAATAATTTACAAATGGGTAGTTAATACCATACATATGTTTAGTGTCATATTTCATATAACTATAGTATGGAGCATTTAACAGGTTCGAGAACATACCTGCAACTGTATGGTCGCAACTTGTTGTAAACCACTTTTCACTTTTTTCTTTTGTTTTTTAAGATAGTATCTCTTTCTAATTGGCAACCTTAAAACACACATACATACTTATAAAGCGTCAATAATAAACAGATTTAATTGCCCATATATATACCCAAGTCATTTGAGATGAAAAAAAAGTACCACACCTGATACTTGTAAATCATGTTTTGAACCATGATTAGTGTTTGCAGTGTCATTTGATCCATCATGATAACCTCTGGTAGGTGGTGACTTGCTGTATAAATCATGGTCATGGGGTGTCTTATGCCCTGATCCTAAATAGGCATTGAAATCAACATGTCCAAAACCAGTACATTTTGCTGGTTGCGAGTGAGAAAATGAAACACTACCACCAGCACCTACCGGCATGGTAGCTGTTTGCTTTCGTAGTTCACCTTGCACTTTCTTGCCTTGTTTTGTTGGCATAATATCTCTTTCTAATTGGTGACCTGAAACACACATACAAAACATATTTAAAAGCATGGTATACATTTAATAATATACACGCTCAATTGTATATATGTACAGACCAGCATTTGAAAGAGTTGAATCATGTTTGGAACTGTGATTAGTAGGAGCATCGTCCTTTGTTACTAATGCATCATGTTTGAGTGCTTCATGAGTCGAATACCCATGAAGTGGCGAATCATGTCTTGCATCCTCATCACACTCAGGTCCGTTTATGGGTGAATCGTGTCTTGAACCATGATCACCTAAATTAGACTTTAACACAGCTATTTGATCTTCCATCCTCTGCATTTTTTTCATGAGTTGCAGCATATCAGGTGACACACCCTCACAGCGACGCTTACGTAGGTCTCTCGCATTGACTCCACGACCTAGCCCTGTAACTTTTCCTTTTTCAGGTTGAGGACCCATTAGTTTTCTATAAGCAATTTCTTCTGCCATTTTTGTTGCCTCTGAGAACTCACATGACCCTGTCTTCTCCTTAATAATATTGATGGCTGAGTTCTAACTCATAAAAATAGGATATGTTACTCATAATTTTCAAACTTATATCTACGCAATAGACATATGAGTTAAATAATATTACCACAAACTCTGTTTTGATGGGTTCATGGAAAGTCTTGTCTTTCTTCTCGCGTGTTTTTACGAATCGCTCAATAGGACCAGGCTGTCGTTTATGCTTCCTTTCCTAAGTAAATACATAAAAACACATTGATTGTATAAAAACTTGAATAATCATTTCAAGATTAAATAAAACAACTTATACACTTACAAACTTATCCAACAAAATTCCAAAACTTTGTGAGCCATTCGTGTGACAATGCGTTTGTTTTCCTCTTGCAATCTTTCCATGCTGTGATTTTTTCTACATACAGATATAAGAGTATTAAGACATTGTTATATTTACTGACTGTATTTTACTTAAATTATGTTTTGATATTGAACTTCATAATTGGGCTAACCTCAAACTCCTGTGAAAATGACAAGGTAACAAATCCAGCCCACATTGCATCATCCACTCCAATAGGACGTGTGAGACCATCAGTGATGTTTGACTCACGAAGGGGTAAATTGTAAAGCTCGTCCTTTGTTATACCTTTTGTAATATATTTTTGTCGTAAATATCGCTTGTAACCTCTTAACCTCTCCCCGACAGAGCTCAATATTTTGTCTTGAACTGAATTGGTGGATGGTATCACGAATTTCTTCTACATTTTATTATGTGGTTGAAGAGTTTAAAAAAATTCTAAAATATGACACAGGTATTAAAAAAGATGGACTCATAAAATATATAAAAAAAAAAGAATATCTGACTCACCTTTAAGTACTCCAAAATGCGATTTTTATATAATGTCGGCACCAGACGCCAATCACTATAATTAATAGGACAAAATTGAGGGCGCTTTGCAATGTCGGCTATAAATCGATTGAACAAACCTCTTGCTTTCTTAACTGGCTGACAAAGCTTGTTCATGGGTACTAGAATTCTACATGGAGCATCCAAGGCAAGCACCACATTTACTGTAATTCGCCCCTTGAGCTTAACCACATTTCCCTGGGCATCTATAATAACACATCAAACAAGTCATATAGAGGATATATTATTACATTATGCTTTTTTTTATGAAATTTGACAATAATATTTTTTATGAAATTTGACAATAATATTTTTTATTGTAGCTATTTATACTGTCGAATATCAAAAACTTGGTTTGCCGCATGCACATATTCTGTTATTTCTGAGTCAAGCAGATAAATTTCCCACGCCTAAAGATATTGACCGCATCATTTCAGCAGAGCTACCCGATGAGGAGGCTGACCATGATTATTATAATGTTGTTCGAGATTTTATGCTTCATCGCCCGTGTGGAAAAGATGCACCTCATGCCAAGTATATGAAAGATGAGAAATGTGAAAAACACTTTCCAAAGAATTTTAATGTCGAGGCAAATATTAACGACGAGGGTTATCCTAAATATAGAAGACAATTTGATGAGAGAAATTTGGTGAAAAAGAACATATACCTCTTGACAATCGTTATGTCGTACCGCATAATAGATATCTTCTATTAAAGTATGGAGCTCATTTTAACGTGGAATGGTGCAATCAGTCGCGATCTATCAAATATTTATTTTACATTAAGAAGGGTCATGATCGTGTGACAGCAGGATTTTATGCCAATGCAGACGCTGTCCCAAATCCAGAAGCAAAGCCAATCAATGAAATTAAGATGTACTATGATTGTCGATACATTTCTCCATGTGAATGGAGCATATTTGGATTTCCAATTCAGTTTAAATTTCCAACTATTGAGCGATTAAGCTTTCACTTACCCAATGAACAGCTCTATGGCATACCTGCAAGGGAACGACCAAGTAGAGAATGCAAATCGAACAATAATGGAAGGGATAAAGAAGAGGCTCAAAGCTTACAAAGGAGGCTAGGTGGATCAGCTCCCAAATGTGCTATGGGCATACCAGACCACGCCCATGAGGGCAACAGGAGAAACGTCGTTTTCCATGTGCTACGACCTTGAAGCAAGGGTACTACGCTCTAAGGTGATTGTTACCAGTTGGAGGGAGGAAAATTACAAACCCCAACAGAACAAGGAGGCAATGACGGTAGACCTCCACTTCGTCGAAGAGCAAAGAGAAAGAGCTTTCCTCAGAGCAGAGAATTATCGGAGGCAACTCGAGGAATATTACGACCGCAAGGTCAGAGCAAGAGAGTTCCGAGTGGGGGACTTAGTACTCAGGAAGAGGGAAGCTAGCCAGCCTACCGAAGTGGGGAAATTTGCTAAGAGTTATGAAGGACCATACGGGGTTGTGGTCGTACTCAGGCCAGGGACTTACAAACTCAGCACGCTCGAAGGGCGCGAGCTAGGCCGACATTGGAATGTCAACAACTTGATTTCCTTTTATGTATAATGCAGCGAGAACCGTAACCAGCCAGCCTCGGTCGCTCCTTAAAAAAATTCATCAATAAAATTCTCGCTCCCACGCAACTTCATCTTTTCTCTCTCACGCAATTTTTTATGCTGCGAAGCATAATCGGGCTCCCATGCCACGATTTGGCCTCACGCGGTCTTTCGCTTTATGCGAATAAGTCCCTCCGTGCACACACACATCTCCACCAAAATCATCCACCTCGCCACTTGACGGCATGCACCGTTCAAGTGTCCTTCAGGGGGGGAGCCCATCTGCATGGCTTGGGCCGGGGTTACGGCGCTCTAAACGAGGTGAAGAGCGAGGTCTCTCTAACGGCGACACACGGAGGGCAACACAAGGTCCTTCTTAGGACGGAAAACTTGCAATCCTGCTTAGGTTGTCTTTCACAACACAAAGTCCTGCTGAGGACGAAACACCTCGGTGTCATGCTGAGGACAAGAGCAATATAAAACCCCAAAGGGGGTCAAAAACAAGATAGGAAGAACCTTCATTAAACAAACTGATGTGCCAAAGAACTTCTTACATCATTTTCAACACAAAGAGCTAGCAGCACTATTTCCAGAATGGTCAGAATAGACATTCATATTCCCGAAATGGTTCGAACCAAAGGATGATGCCCCTTGATCGGAAGCATCGGGCCACTCCGCCCCACGAACTTGGCCATCAACATTCTTCTTGCGATGCGCACGTCTGAAGCCTTTGATACAGGCAAGAACGTTGGTGCCACGGGGCCGGACCTTTCAGGAAAGTTTGTGATATCAGTCCTCTAACGGAGTCGACATTGAATGGATTTTTCACTCAGAGATGAAGGAGAGGACTGGATATGCCTCCCCACCGCGGAAGGAGCGGTGGCATAGCTGGGCAAGGAAGACTCCGCCATCAGAAATGTACATGGATGTGTAGCACGTATGAAAGATGTTCCTTCTTTGAGGGACGGAGTGCGGGGACTAAACATTGTTTCCAAAACAAAGGGCGAGTAACATAACACACTTATAGCAAGAAGCCAAGAGATCGTTGATCACATTCAAAGTCAAACTTCATTACACAAGGTATCAAAAAGTACAACATTTATTATGCTTATCACACTTAGCAATGCTACAATTACAACCCCGACAACATTTATTACACGACAATACTACAAAGGAAAATTCGACAAACTCTTTGTGGCCAATGGATTCCAAGACAAGCAACAAGGAACCCATTTGCCGACGAATATATGTTGGCCCTCTACAATTCCGCATACTCCTACGGATAGCCATATAGAAGGGCCAAAAGGAAGACACTCAAAATGAGCCCATAGACTCTTCAGGGTGATCATCATCCACGGAGATGATAACTGGACCTGGCTGAACAGCTCCAGTCGGTGGCACCACCCATTGAGGGGGACCCACCGGACCATAGACGAGCCGCTCTAAACGATGAATGCGTCTTTCCAAGTTCTTGGACCGGGTCCACCAAGAGGTAGTACGCGATTCTTCATCTTCCGGTGGAGGCGGAGGAGAACTCTTGGGGGCTTTAGGCTTGGATGGAAGTGGAGCATCACTTTTTGGCTCGATAGAGGCCATTACGAGAATTAGCCCCAAAGCCCAATGGGAAGATGGTGAGTGTGCTTCTAAAGGGTGAATCAAATTATAGGCCAAAAACAAAGATGTTGGGCAAGTGAACAGTCGGGGTGGTTGAAGATAGAGAAAATAAACAGTGACATCTTTCAGGAACAGTACGACGGTCCAGTGGTTAGGATGGCTTTTATGGGGAAGACAAAAAGTCAGACCCTCAAAAGACTGAATGTTAGCATAATAAATTAAACGATGTCAGACGTAAATCAAAGCACTATGCAAGAACGCGAATAAACAATAAGTACAAAGCGTTCCATTGGATGAAAAGGAAGAGCAAAGTATAATGAATACAACAGCGGACAAGATTAAGAGGACGCCTCTGAACGCTGCTCTTGATCGGCGAATGCAATCTCTTCTTGGGACGGAGTCCCCATGAAGTCCGGATTCGGGCCGAGCTCGTTGTTCTGATCCGGGTCATGCATTTGCGAGATGTCAATTTCGGGGGGGAGGAAAAGAAGGATCTACTCTCCTCGTGCGCCGGAGGACGAGCTTGATTCCGTGGTAGACACCAGCCTCATACCATTTGGGCCCCTCATCCCCATGTTTCTTCAAGCTAGCCTCGGTCCCAATCCAGTTGTCATAGTACTCGCCAAATTTTTCCATGCAAGCGTCTTTGAACGCTGGGGACTAAAGGAAGTCGGCGACGGCTTGCTCCTCCTCGGCGATGGCTTGCTCTTTCTCGACCGTGGCCTGCTCCTTCTCGCAAACGGCCTATTCCTTTTCGGACAAAGCTCGTTCCTTCTCAAGTACGGCAGCCTCCTTCTCCTGCTCAACCGATTGCTGCAAGGAGACGACCTCTGCTAATTCGATGTTTAGCTCGGCCCTTTTACCCTTGGATTGACGAAGCCTTTCCTCCAGACCAGCCATGGAAGTAGTAAGCTGCGCTGTAGGCTCTTCCGCCTCTTTCAGTAGGCCTTGCAGCCTAATCACCTCGTCCGACTTGGAGACGGCCTGCAGTTGGAGTTCTAACACTTGCTCGTGCTCGGCCTCAACGAGTTTCCTCAGGCGAGTGAGCTCCGTCTCCACGGAGGCAAGAAAGCTTTCCCTTGAAGTGAACTAAGTGCTAGAGCGGCGGGTGCTGATGAGGTGCAACTTCGCTATACCTCTACAAAAAATGAGCTTAGTGAGTGTGCAGATTTTGGGGGAATTTCATAAGCGAATAAGTATCTTACCTCTGCATGGAACCCGAGTACGGTTTTCTGCAAGGAAGAGAGAATTTCTTCCTCGTACTTTAGAGTCGCGGTCAGAAACCCAGCCTCGGCCTCAGCACGCTCTCCTCTACCTTCGGCATTTGTGGATGGGACAGACTTCCCATCCCTCTGTGCAACCGAATGCTCAGACTTAGGCGCATCCACCATGAGAACATCGGAGGCGTGCACGTCCTCTTCATCCTCAGCCTGCAGCAGTTTCCTCTTTCTCTGCCCCCAGGTCGGAGTCATCGTATGGTCAGGAACAGCGACGGTAGCGGCCTCCGAACATCCCTGGAGCAATGATTCGGGATTCGTTTCCTCCCTTCGGCCTCGACTCTAAACTTGAACCGTAGCCTTCCACATGATATGGCGTCGTTGCATCTCTCCTGTCAAATAACAAAGCATTATGAGTCTAGTCATCAAAGTAAGATGGAGGCAAAAGGATAAGGGCAGACCTACATCACTTCCGTCCACAGAGAATTCAGCGTCACCTTCCCTCTCGGAATGAGATGGGTGCCCTGAGTCATCTCCAGCCTGTACATCTTCGATCTCATCAACCTCCTCTGACCCCCCTTCCCTTCGAGTGGCGGTTGTCTCCTCGAGGCCCAATTTTGGTCGCTCATCCCTCATAGCCTCGTCCAACTCGAATTGTCAGTCTAGCGAAACAAGGATCACCACCTTCCCCATGTTCTGCTCCGTGCACAGCGTGTACACATGGGGTGGTTTAGGGCGACAATCTTCCAGAATATTCTTGGCGTGCGTAAGAAGTTCCGGGGTGGCCTCCGGTCAATGATGACGAATATACGAACAACACCCGGGAAATCTCACCATGAAGGGGTGCCTATCCCCGGGAAAACCAGAAACGAAGACAAACTTCGCCTTCCACAATTTGAGGGACGAGGGGATAGTGGTCAATCCGCACTCGTTCTGAGCAGACACAACGGCGTACGACTTGGCCTTGTCACGGCCGACCTGGGAAATCTGGAACAAATACCTAAAGAGGTCCAGGGACTAGGGGACCCCTTTGATCTGGCATTTAATCAAGCAGGAAAAACAATAGTAGGAGTGTGGGGTGAGCTGACCCAGGAGGAGGCGATAGAAGTTCAAGTACTGGATGATCAACTCATGGAGGAGGCGATAAAAGTCCACTGACTTACAGGCTCTTGGACTTCAGGCTATCTCCATTCCTTTAGATTCCCTCGAACGGACTTCAAATTTTTTCGTCTTTTAACCACCACGTGAGAAAAGAATCCTCGGTTGAGGTAAGAGAGAGAAATAGATTTAAAACAAGAGCTTAAGAGATAAGGCACGACACGCAGGCCGTATTATAATCTAATAAACTATAGCCACAATCATCCACCATGCATATCATACATCCACACAGGCAATAGAGATATATATACACCGGGCGAACCGCGCTCGCCCCAGACAATTCTAGAAAAATACTACGTTGGTAATATTTTCTAAAATTCATAAAAATTCATAAAGTGGTCCAAAAATTATGAAATTTTACCAAGTCATCCTAAACATATTATGTGACTTTCGGCCAGGGTCAAAACTGGAAAAGAAAATTCCAGTAGATACAGAATTATGAAAATGCCCTTTTGCCAATTTTATTTTGAAAAAACCATTTAAATGAGAAATGAATTTTCAAAAATGATGAAAATTTATTTTCAACTTCCAGTAACTATTTTATACATTTATAAA